TATATATATATATATATATATATATATATATATATATATATATATATATATATATATATATGCTAGTGACAATATTTTTTGTATAAGGATTAAATAATTTATATGTTTTATATGTTTCACTTACATTAATAAATACACATTTTTTATATTTGTCATCAAATTTTTTTTTTTATATAAAACATGTCCTAAATATTCATAAATATTTCGAAGGAAGGAAAGTTGACAACATACTTTATAAGGAAATGAATGACAATTTGATATATTTAACTGTACTACGACTGATTATAATATATTTTGTTGGTATGATAAGTAGACATACGAAGAATCCTATATAAAAATTATTTGTTGGTTGTAAAGAGAATACTTCATTATTTGAAAGAAGCTGCTAAATATTTTAGGTTTATTTTTATGAAGGGTGAGAAATCTAATATAAGGGGGTTTACTAATAGTGATTATACTTTAGGATTTTGGGTGATCAAGACATGAAATAGTTATTATGCAGGTGATCAAACAATTAAAAAAGTATTTTTAATTATGTATTCATATTGAGAACATGTATTATTTCATGGTCATCTAAAAGAAAATATATATTATTACTTTATAAAACACTAAAGTTGAATTTGTTGCTACGGTGACACGTGCATATTAAATCATTTTGTTAAGGAGAATTCATTGAAGAAATGAATTTCAAACAATAGGTGCAACTACACTATTTTGTGATAATAATATAGTTATTGATTTGTCTAAAAATCTAATGTTATATGAGAGAAACAAATATATAGATGTGAAATATTATTTTTTAAGGAAATACAACAATGATGAGATAATTGATCTACAACATTGTAAAAAGTGAAGAACAATATTTACATAGTCTCTTAAGATTTTTTATTTTTATAATTTAAGAAAATTAATGGGATATGCACTATAAATTAAATTGAAAAACTATAATATTTCAGTTTAAGGAGGGATTCTTACAAAAATAAACTAATATTAGTTTTTTTACTTATGGGAGAATTTTGAATTTTTAAATTATGTGTAGCTAGGTGCAGTGACTTTTGTCCTTTTATGGTTCTTATTGTAATGATCTATTTATTTGACAAATTATCATCCTTTCTAAATAAGAAAAAACCCATTTTTCTTTTATGTAAAATCCTAATAGTTGTTAAAAAAAATTAATATTAGTTTATTTTTTTCTTAATTATTGAAGATTTTTAATTTTAAAATTATGAGTCATGGCTATTGTCATTTTGTGGTTGTTACGTAATAGTCTATTTATTAAATAAGTTATTATCCTTTATGAATAATAACAACACAAATTTTTTTCTATGTTATTTTTCAACAATGGTAGGAGAGCCCATGATTCACTTGATAAGTCAGTCGGTCAAATACAAAGTAAGAGTCACAGCTTGACAAAGCTAGTAAAGATGGTTAATATCGGACACATGATTAAAATTTGTTTTCATTTCACTACAAAAAATTCACTTATTACTGACGGATTTGTATCCGTCGGAAAATAATCATTACCGACGGAAATTATCGACGGATATAAAATATTTGTGAAATTTGATATTACCGACGGATATATCCATCGCTAAATCTGTCGGTAATTTACAAATGAATTTACCGACAGATATATCCGTCATGTAAATCCGTCGATAAATTCATAATTAATTAAATTCAATTGTAAATTACACCTAATTAAAAAAATTAAATATATATATAAATATATATATATATATATATAAATATATAAATATATAAAATATAAATATATAAATATAAAAATATAAAAATATATAAAATATAAAATATAAAATATAAAATATAAATATATAAAATATAAAATATAAAATATAAATATATAAAATATAAAATATAAATATATAAAATATAAATATATAAAATATAAATATATAAATATATTTGTATATAAATATATTTGTATATAAATATATTTTATTTGTAAATTATTATCAAAAAATTCTGGTAGCTTAGTGGTTAGAGTATCATTCTCGATAATAATCGAAGGCTATAAAAATGTAATTGGTGATAAGGGATTTCTATCCGATCGGTAATATTAAAATTTTTTGTAGTGTTTTAATGGAAGAATTATGTATAAGGAATCACCTTTGAGAAACAAAATTTAGAATTAAAGTGTGAGTTGAAATTTATATTAAATAAAATTTATGAAATATAATATATAGGTGAGCAAGATGCAAGTTTCATAATAAGATTTTCAATTAAAGATAATATTAATCCCTTATACAACTCTAAATATTTATTTATTATAATTTTTAACCCTTTCATCTATAAATTAAGATGAGTTTATTTCCTTTTAATAAATTTTTGTCAAAACAATTATTTGAGAATAAATCTAACATAATTAATTATAAGACCAACCTTATTTATGATGAAATATTAATCAATTTTTGTACATAATACACAATTCAATATTGTGTATCGTAAAATTATAAAATTAAAGAAATATACAGTTATAATTAAGATTAAGATAATTTTTTAGATAAATAATATAAATACAAAATGTAATGATATTTAAAATATTTTCTATTATAATGAAAAATACTATAACTATATAATTATTTTAAAATTATACTATATTAAAAATCACTAATTTTAAATTAGGTTAAAATGATTTGAACTAAAACTAACATAGACAATAGTTTTTTTTTTTTCTTTCTTTAGTTTATCTTTTATCATGACAAAATTGCATCGGTTGAATGCAATGAGAGCAACCCTTCTTGTGTTGTCAGGGTCTTAACGTTTTCAAAAAATTTAAATTATTTATACATTTATTATTTTGATCTCTCTAATTTCTTTTAGATATTTAAAACAATTTATTAAATTTATATTAATTTAAAAAAAATATTATATATAATTTTGAATTTATTTACTTTTTTTCATAAATAATTAAATATATTAAATAAAAAAATTTAAAATAATTTTTATATTCTATTTTTATTTCATCTTATTAGATATTATTTTTGTTCAAAATTATTGGTGAATATCCGTAACTGAATACAATCCGTTATTTCTTTTTTCACAGCTGAAGAAAGACACTGGTTAAGTTGATGCTTGCGCTTTTCCTCCATGCAAAGTCAAGTAGGGTTGTGTAATATAAAATGAGTTATATATATACACCAACCAATATGCATTTGCTTCACCAAGAGTCTAAATGTTGCACTTATAAAGGATGGTTATATATATTTTATTTCTATGTGACTTAAATTTAATGTAACAAATGATTTAATCCATAGGTTTACATTAAAAAGTTAAATACCCATATATAAACAATACATATTTAAATTTAAATTAAAAAAGTTTCCTTTATTATTTGGTAATAGGAAGTTACTTAAGTAATAATTTAAATATTCAACAATTTTCTAATCTTTATTTTCTCTCGTTGTTTTTTTATTATTATTTTATTAATCCATTTCTCAGGCTCAACACAATCCATGACTTGTGAAAAAGAATTAAGATCTTTACTAATTTAGTGCCTAATGCAAATATGTTTCATAATATACTCAGACAAAGTAACATTTTTTTTTTAATTCTTCTATATATATTATGGTTTGAGAATCTGACTCTTATTGAATATTCAAAATACGTTTAATTTAAATTTAGTTAAATTCAAATTCACATAACAAGTACTGTATATAGTCTACCCTACCTCCATGGGTGACATTCCGAGAGACTGTGATTCAAAATCCCCTATATTTTCCCTTAAATTTCATCCTGAATGTCCTTGAAACGTTAAAATGCTTGAACTTGGCAATTGCAGTGTTGTCATATTTCCAATTTAGCAACATTAACACTACTGTGTAAGAGAGTCGTTATTCTTAGTAAGAATTTGGAATCCACCTAGGGACTTCGTTTCAACTTTGAACCCCCCATGCTATGGGTTATACCTTCAGATCTGAAATCAACAAAAGAATCAAAATTTTGACATCACTTACGACCATTGAAGTGAAGCTCCTTCAATATATGAGACCAACTGCACTATTCTTTTCCCAAGGATGTATGCAATCTTTCCGGAAGTTGTTTTAACGAGTCAAAATATGTAATAACTGTTACGAATTGAGTAAGTAATAAATTTCCACGTAAATTTCGTACACTATATATATATATATATATATAAACTATTACTGAACATGTATTCACGAAGAAAGTTATTTGAGTTAAGACTTCATTAAATTAATGTGTGATTTGGAATTTCAATGAAGAACAAAATAAGATTATGTAGGTATATATAGATGCGAGGAACTTTCCAGATGTTGGAGTTGAGTTAGCAAATTTTGTAATTTTCTAAGTTGAAGTTGTTCGTATGTTGCTACCTTATTTGGCATGGAAGTAGAACAACAGCAACTTATAAATGCTTGTTATTTTTCTTAAGAAAAGTTTATGTCAAAGGTAAAATTTTTCCGAGCATTGTTTTAACTGGTTTTTCCGATGCATTTGAAAGAGGAATTTCCGGGTAAAAGTCCAGAACAGAAAGAAAAATAGGTCAAGGTATATAACATATTAACATATTAGTAACATCATAACATGCACTGTGTGTCCCACATCACACAGTTTAGTCTCGGCAGACTTTTTGTCAAGCCGCGTGGGTCCCACCTATCGCGGTCCCACCACACAAATCTTGTAATAATGTGCAGAGTCGCAATTACAAGTCCATTTTCTTTCAAGATTTCTTATAGAGACTTTTGTGCCCCTATGCCTCCACGACCAAGTCATAACCCCAACCTTAATTATAAAAAATATCATGAAATAGCATAATAAAGACCCCCATTTACACAACCAACCATGAACCATTCCTTATAAATACCCTCCCATCACATATTCATTTAATTGTATCAACCAACTTTGGTGTTCCTTAGCACAAAAATAAAACCTGACTAAACACAAGTAGGTAAAGTCCTACCACTGCACTAGCTAACCAGTACGTAGTAGCATCACCGTTAGAAAGCAAGCATATTGATGATATGGCCTCCATGGAAGACATGAACATGAGTGGGGAAATTGCACTTCCAGGGTTCCGATTCCACCCTACAGAGGAAGAGCTTCTCGATTTCTACCTTAAAAACATGGTTGTCGGAAAGAAACTCCGTTACGACGTTATTGGTTTCCTCAACATCTATCACCATGATCCTTGGGACTTGCCTGGTAATCATGGGTTTAATTAGTTAATTCATTGATTGGTTGTGTAACATGTATGTTCGTAAATAGAGATTTGACAATGTTAAATTATTATAGGTTTGGCTAAGGTTGGGGAAAGAGAATGGTACTTCTTCGTGCCGAGGGACAAAAAACATGGGAGCGGGGGAAGACCAAACCGGACCACTGAAAAAGGATTTTGGAAAGCCACCGGTTCAGACCGGAAAATAGTGACTTTGTCTGATCCGAAGCGCATAATCGGGTTAAGGAAGACCCTCGTTTTCTATCTGGGAAGAGCCCCCAGTGGACGCAAGACCGATTGGGTCATGAACGAGTACCGTTTACCTGACAATTGCAAATTACCCAAGGTAAACACTATATTCATTCTTATTGTTATTACTAACATGAACCACCATTTTTTCTATTGATATATGATTCAACGATATGTAAATTTTTACATTTGAAAAATACATGAACCTTTTTGTAAAGGAAGTTTCCTAGAAGTTAGACAGGTAAATGATAATGATAGTTACTTTTCGTACGGGTAGGATGTGAATAAATTAAGTGTGAACCTGCCATTTTGGTCTTTTGCAAAAACCTCTTGTTTGGCTCATGAGAAAGTTAAACTGTGCAACTTATTCAACGTCTTGAATTAATGGTAGTAGTAGATGTAGTTAATGAAGTAAAAGTTGATGATTGTGGTTTTTGGCAAATGGGTACAGGAAATAGTGTTGTGCAAGATATATCGAAAGGCAACTTCGTTGAAAGTTCTGGAGCAAAGGGCAGCAGAAGAGGAAGAGAGAGAGATGAAGCAAATGGTTGGTTCCCCTGCGTCTACACCTTCCTCCACGGACACCATGTCCTTTAGCAGCCCACAGGAAGAGCAAAACGTGCCCTTGTTGGAACATGTTCTTAAGAAAGAGTCTGAATCTGAAGAAGTGGCATTTGTGTCTAACATGACAGTGCCTAAACAAGAAATAGCAAGCACTCAATTGGGTTTGAAAGACAACAAAGGCACTTGTGGCACGTCACTGCAAATGCCCTTTGGGAAGGACAAACTTCCTGATTTGCAGCTTCCCATGCTCACAGATTGGACCCAAGATACCTTTTGGGCTCAGTTGAATAGTCCATGGCTCCAAAACTTTACTCCTTCCAACATCTTAAACTTCTACTGACTCCATACATCTTCACCCAGATGTATCAACAGCAAGTTCAAGTTAATTAGTTACTACCTATTTATTTATTTTGGAATGTATGTGCAGTTCATTAATTAATTAATAACGTATTTTATGTTAGCTCAATTAGCTACACAGGTTTTCCTCAAATTCTGCCCAGCTGCAACCTCTTCTTTGATCCTATTTCACTCTGTCATTGAATGTTCAAGTAAATTTCATCAACAGAATGTTCACTTTTTGGAGATTTGTTTTAAAAGTTAACCATTCTACTCTGTTCCAGCTCAAGAACGTTTGGTATTATGATTTATGTATCACAGTTCTTTTTATGTTTCTTTACAATATAGAGAAACAAACTTGTTTCCGGAAGTCATATTGCAACAGTACAATTCTAGAATTGGAATGATTGATCTAGACAGGATTTACATGTCATGAACCACATTAAATGGTTTCACCAATGACAAAGAACTAAATTAATCAAGTTGCTAAAATTAAGGACTAAATAGTTATCAGATTACTATTTTAAAAAGTTCCTAATCAATGAAAAGTAAAGAAACTTCTACTCCATTTGATCAAGGTTTCTTTTCTTTCAAGTTTTAACAATAAGTTTAATTATTTCTCCTAAAGATTATGGTGACAATTTTGTGAATGATCATTTTATAATGTTGCAATTTTCTGAGACAAACTAACTAAAGAAACTCCAGAGAAAGAAGGCATTAAAGAACTAGAAGCAAAAGTTGAAACAGAGTCAATAAACAGAGGACCATATTCCCTTCAGTGTAGGAATCCCTACTCCTATAAATATGATTTCAGTCCCCCAAGATCATAACATTAATAATAGTCTCATGATATGATGATGACACTAATTGTCTCTTAACCATACCATACCATGTGTTGTAGCAAAAACCATGAATAATTTCCAATTTTTCATCTTGTAAAGATTGCCTAACATGGCATTCTTAGAAATTTTATCTTTTCTGAATTCCATTTGGGCCCAATTGTTGCCTGAGCATGCTTGTGTTGGATGAACAATATCAAGTATGGTGGGAATTGTGGTTCAGTATGGGGAACAAGCCTTATTGTATAATTAAACATTTAATAAACATATAAGAACATCTTAAACTACATATTGAACTGTCGTTGTAGTGTCTTTTCAATTACAGGGAATCAATGTTGTACCCGAAAGAGATGATGAAATTGGAACGGTTGATTGGCGTAGACTTCTTCAAAGAGCATAAATTTCAACGGGAATTGGACTTGTATCCTTTTATTGGTCAGTAAAATGACACCATAATATTATGGAGGAAAATATATAAATTTTATTAGATAAAAATTCATAAGAACCATTAACAATTGATAGTATTTTTCTTTTCTTCTGTTATTACTGTCATATCATATTTTTAGCATGAGAGATTGACTCAAGTGTTTGCTTTCCTCACCCATTGCATTGAATAAAATCTTGTTTAATTGTAGTAGGTATTTCTAAGAATTTATAAAAATATATAAATATCTATGAACGTTTGATAAAGTAATCTCAATTTTACGGTTGCAAGACTGTAGTGTTATTTATCTTTGCCCCATTAATAGATAAGAAAAGAAAATCTATCTGTTTTACTCAAAAGTTTGTTTTCTGAACAAATATAGATATTTTTCTTTAATGTAATGTTATTAAAAAATGAGAAGAATAATTGAAAAAAATTCTTCGTATTGGACTTTAAATGTAAATATAGAATTAGACATTTTTCTCAATTATTTTCAAATTTTACATAATTTATATCCGTTTAAAATGAGTCTATTACTCTCAAGCATTTTTAATGGAAATATTTAATGAGATGTTTAAATAAAATATTAATTATTTTAAATAATTGTTCATTAAAAGAATTTTATGTAATATATAGATTATTATTTTGTTATTATTTTATTAAGTAATTTATAAAAAAATAATTATTTAAAATTTTATTAAAAATATTAAAATAAAATAAATAATAAATTATTTCAAAATGATATAATATAATAATTTTATATTTTATATTTTCTAAATAAATAAGAAGATGCTACTATATGTTAGTGATTATTTTCATCAAATCTTCCCTCTTGATATTTCAAAGGAGAGGACAAGTGGTAGTATTTATTCCTTTCACAATTTTTATTATTATTTTTTAATAATAAAAAAAAAACATATATCTGGAAGTTATTGGACCAACTTCGTTTCAAAATTTCTACCCAAAGGAAAGTTAGGCAAGTTGTCATTCTTGATCGTTAAAGCTCAGGATTTATTATTATTATTATTATCATAAATTTTGATGAAGTATTTTTTTTAACTTTGTAATTTCTGATTTTATTATATAAATTTCTGAAAATTTTCTAAAACATAAAATACCATTTCCAAAAATCAGAAAATGTTATCCATTGTTGATGGACTCTTATGGTTTATTTAATTTAATCTCACAATTATTATTTTAAGTCAAATTTAATACCACCTAATTATTTATAAAACAATATTTAGATTTATTGATATGTTATAATTTAATTATATTGTTAACTGACGTACTATCTCCGTATTTAGTCAAATAATTCAACCATAATGTACCATGATTAATTTTTCTTATTTTATTATATATAACATTGACCCTAAAATTTGAATTTAAAATATGCATATAAACTTTCACCATTGGTTTGATTTTAATGGGTTGGATAAATTATTAAAATTATAATATTACGATTATTTGCATTTTCTGATCAAATTTTGTGCTATTTGTAATTTCAAAGTTCCATCCGCGGACGATGATTTGAAGATTGGTCACGTGGGTCATGGGCACAAAAGGAATCACGACTTGGTCTCTTACGATCAAAATATTGAATTGTTCTAACGAATAATTTATATTTTTCACTTTGTATTTGATTACAAATACATGAAATAAAGAAGAGGAAAAATATAATGGAAAGAAAGAAAAAAATGAGAAGAAAAATAAAATAACTTGCATGAATTTTTGTCCCCCTATTTTTATTATCTCTAAATATTAAAAAAATTAGAAAAAGGAGAAAAATTTAAACCATGTAAATTAAATAATATATTGATGAAAAAATTATCTTCGAGAGGAAGAGTGTGATGAAATTCAACATCAACTATATCAATATATAAATTAGTACAATCATTATTTTTTTAACTATTTATTGAATTAATACCTCTTCATTTTTAATACTTATATGTTTAATTTTCTCTCCAACTTTACAACATTGTTAAAAATTTATGAGATCAAAATAAAAAAATATTTATAAATGAGATACATCATTTAAAAAAATTAATATTATCTTAACTTAAATTTTAACTATTTTTTATTTTATTTCAAGTCAATATAATATCTTATACTAGTTAAAAAAGCGAAACGAAATGCATTAGTTATCTGTTCTTAATTTGGATAATAATAATAGAAAAAAACAATCACTCATTCTTAATAATATTCTTAAAAGAAAGAGTTTTGAAAAAAAATTCAAGAAAAGCTCTTTGTTCCTATTTTGGAATTACATTTTAATTCTACTACTAGCTATAATCTCTTTTATAATGGTTAAAAAAGAGTTATAATAATGATTTTTGAACCGTTATTGTTTAGTTGTGGCTAAAAATTAATAAATTAACGACGATTTTGAACCATAGTTGTAGATTACTCATACAATGACGATTATATTTATAATTATGTTATATATTAAAATCTCCATTTTGTTCCATCGCAACAAATCTAAAAGTTTTACCACGACAAACCTAGAAGTTCCGCCATAACAAATCTAAAAGCTTCGCTACAACAAACATAGAAGCTCTGTCATAACAACTTTGTGTCCCTCATTGTTGCTTCTCCACGGCAAAAACTTCTATTACTCTCTTGTTGCTCCACTGTAATAAACTCAAGTTTTCTCCACCTGCTCATTATTGTTCTTTTAACTCAGTTTTAACGTATATAATAGACATTTTTCCTCTACTTACGCCTCAACAAAACATTGTTCTCTATCTTTACTTTAATAAAATGTTGTCTTTCACTGTTGTTCTCCTTTATGATAATTTTAGGTGTGTTGGAGACATATGTGGTGGAGACATTTACGGTGTATAGTGAAGAGAATTACTTTGAGAAAAAAGAAAGAGGGAGAAGAAAAAAATAATTTAATCATAATGAATAAGGAAAAAAGAGAAGAGTTGCAACAGAGGAAGAGAAAAGAAAAAAAAAAAAAGAGAGAGAAGAAGAAAAGATAAGTGAAAACACAAAGATTAAATGAACAGAAAAGGCGAAATTGAAAATTTTAACGAAATATATGATGACGATTTTATAAATAACCATCATCATATATGACATATAACGACTATTCTTCTATAATCGTCATTGTATGTGACATATAACGACGATTATAAAAGAATTTTTATTAAAAAATTAGACATACAACGATAATTATAAATATAATTGTCGTTATATGTTTGTATTTTATATATATAACAACGATTTATTTTAAAATATCGTTGATGATAATTGTAAATGAATCTTGTTAAAAAATTAAAAATAATTTTAAAATTATTATAGTATATTTTTTAACAACAGTTTATATGTAACTTTGAAAAACCTTATTTCTTATTTTTTAACATTTTTTATTTATTTTAAATATAATGTTAAAGAAATAGAAATGAGATAAATAAATTTTGACAAGATCAAGATTGTTTTAAAGTGAGATTGATTAGTTGACATACAGAATTAACATTTGATTATATACGTTATCTTTTTTAATAAGCACTTGTCATAAGATCGAATTTTTTTAATAAGCACTCGTCATAAAATATCGAATTCTAGATTTTCAATGACCTAGTTAATGATGTTGTTAATAATTTACTCAAATATTTTCAAAACTTTATCAATTACAACTTAGAATGCATCTTTTAATTATTTCATTAACATGATTTATTTAACTAGTTTATAAACTTATTTAGCCAAAATATAGATTTTGATAAAGAAGTTTATCTCACT